AACTCACCAGAATCAAGGTTCTGTTCCTCCTCCTGCTCCTGAGGAGCACTGGCTCCTGGCAACTGTACTCTGCAAAGATAACGTAAGTTTTCAGTTAAACTAGTTTTATCTTACCTTTCCGTTATCTCTGCAGCCCATTGCGCAGATCTGCTCGTTGTATTAAAATCTGAAACAATCAATTATTACTATTTCTTAATATGGACTTACCTCTTGAGCAGGATCCGAAGCTCCATGCCTCCACCTCCACTTGCTCCCGCTTCTACCGACTACTTAGTTTTATTTCTGAAAATATATTTATTATTATCTTAAATGGAGCACTTACTTTTCGTGAAAAAAATGGCTCCGCCATCCGCCTCCACTCGCTCAACACACCAAGTTTTCTGAAAACAGGTTTATATACGGCGTAAGTTAGTATATGACTTACTTTTGTTTTTCTGGATTTTATCCAGATTGACCTTTGGCTACTTTTCGGCCATCCCCGAGAGGATGGCTACTTCTCGGCTTCGGTCAATCTTACCAGAATAACATTTTCTTTTTTTACATAAAAAAAACATAAAAATAATAATAAATAAACGTAAAACATGGGGGAAGAGTTGGCCAACTCAAAAAAGGGGAGGGAAATACACATAAATATAAATTTAATTATAAAATATAATTAATTAATTAATTATTTAAAAAGTTTCTTCTTCAGTCTTCTTCAGCCACTGGATCTCTATGCCTATCAAACAAAATATTAGAAAATGTAAGAAAAAATAGATAAGAACGTGTCAAACTAACACTACTATCTTCCAGTTGTCCGCCCATACCGGATACGAATTTCTTCTTTATGTACTGGATCTGCCTAAAATAAAAAGTGGATCCTTCTTCCAATTGCAGCTTCTCTGTGAATATGCCTATCAAATAAAAGTGTTAGTAAGAGTAAAAATAAATTTTAAAATCCGATGTGAACTAACACTCCTCCTTGTTCCTCCACCCATAACTGCTACGGCATTCTGGACCTATCTATAAATAAATCCTTGGGCTTTCTTCTTCTTTTCTTCTTTTCTTCTTCCAGGTACCAGCTTTTCTAGGAACTTGCCTATCAAATAAAAGTGTTAGTAAGAGTATTAAAGATAAGGGAGAAGTACGAAAGGGGGAGGGGGAGTGCCGGCCAGCAATAATATAAATAAAGAAAAGGGGACAAAAATAATTAAAAATCGACTTATATTTCTCAGCTGCTGGATCAGAAGACGGCGACAGCTTCCCTTGCGTACCCTGAACATGGTTTGAAACAACAAAAAGTTTTAAAATTTTAGATAAATTAAGGGAGAAGGGGAGTACTGGCGCCAGTTTTCTTAGATTTTTAAAAAACTATAAAGGGGGGAGGGGGAACCTAAGATATTTAAGATATTTTAGAGATTTTAAGATAATATTATAAATTAAGGAATTTAAATAAAAATTTTAAGAAAATTTGTCATTTCTCTGAAAAAAATGAAATTAGAAGATACAATATGATGAATGGAATACCTCCATGCCAGAAGTACTCTCTGGACGGGAGTACCCTCGTCTTCATTGGAACCGAGGTTCCTGAAAAACGAAGGTTAAGAAAACAATAATCAAACAATAATCAATAACACAGAAAAGATAACAAACAAAGGCAAAAAGCCGTAAGAAGAGCTCTCAGTTGGCTTGAGAGGTTATGAGATTTCTTCAAAAAAAGTTTTTTATTTTAATATTTAGCGCTTATTTTTGAATTTTTAAATTTGGCCAGGCCATATATGGCATGATTGGCTGTCTTGAGGTCATCCTACCATCCCTGACTATCTTATTGATTATTTGTTTGTTTGTTTGTTTCTTAGTTAGTTAGTTTCATCATTATTCGATTACATTTTGTTTTAACCAAAGACAGAAAAGAGTAATTGTTTGAAAACAGTTTCCAGAGGATTATTCGTGCATGAGCGTATCGTGTATGTTGAGAAAATGTGGTACGGAGTTGCATGAGCTCTCGTATGATTCCAGAGAGTCGACTCGTGGCTCAAATAGCTATCTTCCCTCGTCTCTGTCTGTGTGTGTGAAGTTGTCATGAGATATACCGTCCTTAGTTATTTCCAGTTATGTGTTTTACATTTCTTAACACTCTTTAATTTCAAAAGATTTTCTTGCGTTTTGTCATTTTTATCGAGTAGCCAAAGGTTTTCCAATTTCCAACTATCTTCAACACGTGTTGAGAAGGCCTCCCCATTTGTAGTTTTACTCTCATCTCTGTTTTTATAGTTAATGTAACTATGTATACACAGTACATGTAGTGCGAGGCAATGGAACATCAAGGTTATCTCCCATTATAGTTAATAAACCAATTTTCATTATAGTATTGATAATTATAGGAAACGTGTGTTTGTCCTCTTTGTAATAGGATCAACTAATAATTTTCTTTTCAACTCCTCTCTCATTCTCTCGGCCTTCTTATGTGTTTGCGTCAGACGATGGGAAAAAACAAAAAAAACCTTTGTTCAGTTTATCAACTTTGTTCCAAAATGGTTTATCCACGATATATAAAGCAACGCTACACCCGAAAGTTAACTTAGCTGTGACTATGTAGAGGGCAAGCAAGGTATCCCATTGAAGAAGGAGCTCCCTTCATTCTAGACCTAAACTGGCGTTTTGTACGGCCCACGTCTGTTCCAGAATGTTTGTGTTGAGGCCACTCGTAGATAAACTGTTCTCTATTGAGCTAGAGAGAGATTGAGTTATAGAGGTTCATTAGATGAAGAAGGATACCACTGCTTTACTAAACTTTTCATATGAAGCCAATATCTCTGCCTGAAACGTTTAAGGGAGTACGAGTAAGACCAGCTAGTCAGAGTGCAGCAGTCAGCTAGTCAATGTGCAGCAGCCAGATTTAGTTTATTACATGGTATGACCTTCGTTGACTGCAGTAGTGACGAGGTTATGGACGGGATAAGAACTGTATAAGAAAGTTCCTGATCATGCTCACACAATGGTATCCGGATTGAACGTAAGCGTGCGATGGAGTGTCAAACGTTCAAGCGCATACGAGTGGAAGCTTGGAAAAGTTTTATGAAAATTCTCCGAGAACTTCTCATTCCTTGTTTTCATTCAATTACTAGAAAACCACTATCTATATATCTTAATCATACGGTCATTCCAAAGAAATACGCTTTGTAAAGAGAGGACAAGAGCTTAAGTGGGAAAAAGGTGACGGTAAGACCCTCTGTGAACAAGAAAAACGATGTTTATGATGTCAACAATGTTTTTTTTATTTGCCATTAGCATATACTTGACTAACCCTATATGCATATAGTTAAACCATGTTTGGACTTTTGCCAATTGGCAAATGTCCAACTGACCTTAACCATTCTCAATAATACAGAACAGCACAAAAGGAACAGATGCATAGCGGAGAGAGTCAGTCAGAGAAAAACAGTAGATGGGAGGAGTGAAGATGGACAGGACGCCATCCGCGATGGACGTCTTGGCGCCATCAATCTCTCATTCACAGCTCATCTGGCTAATCCTTTCCTAGCATCATGTCATTTTCGTTATAATTTTTGAGATAATCATAACTGTATATGTATAGTTAATTAATAATTAACCTCATTATCATTTTTTGTTTTACTTCTCCTAATTCTCAATGCCCTTGCACTGTCTCACAGTGTACCATTACCCTATGTGACAATATGAATTGATGTTCTACTCCTCTCTCACCAAATATGGTTCATCTCCGACGTCAAGTTGATGAATCGAAATGAAATAAAATTTTTCTCATCATTCAATTCTTATCGTCTTCGTTTATCACACAAATGAACCTCTTCATTAGCTCGAAACATACAACATTTCCATTTTCAGAAGCATGCCTCGAATGCTCACGTCTGCCCCAACCCATCATCCGATCATACAAGGCTACTTAGTCATCTATAACTTACTCATGTTCCTTATTCACTATTTTGTTTTTGTGGATGTGTTACATGAAGTTAAGAAGAGTGAGTCTTATCTATGAAACCAAACAATTCTTACCTCCCCTACTTCCAGATAACTATTCCTATTTCCATCATTTTGAAACTTTGAGAATCGCTACTGCTCTTCAGCTGTTCGATGTTTTCCATGGCCTGATCGGATTGACGAAAACAAACTTTGTAGTTGGACTTTTCCAAGTCTTCGGACGTCTCTTCGTTCTTCAATGTATTCATGGCATTGACAGTTTGTACAAAGAAGTTTTCCCAGTACTTGTCTTAGTTACTGCTTACTTGCTTATTGAGTTAATTCGGTATGTGTGATTAAGCTTCTCAGTCTTTCTCATCTCTCCGTTTGCAGTTATCCTTATTACTGCCTTAGGGCAATCAACCAGACATGGAAGCCAATCACTTTTCTCAGATACAACGCTTGGATCGTCCTCTATCCCATTGGATTTGTTTGTGAATGTAAGCTTTCTCACAATATCTCTCATACTGTCATTGGGGTGAAGCATTCGTTTACATACTCTCTTTACAGATAACACATTGGCTCGAGTTGGATATACTCATTACACACGCGGAACTTTTGCTCCTTATGTTCCTAACTGCTTGGCAAATTTCTATTTCTTTGTCTTCGTTGGAAGTGTACTGACTGTTCTGATCATATATTTGGCTCAGTTCCTTCTAAGCCACATGGACAAACAACGTCAAAAACATTACAATAAGGCTTTGATCTTCCCGACAGTTAGAAGAATCCAATTGAAAGCCAGACAATTGTGGCGCAAGTATAGTACTAAATCTTATTAAAGTCAAGGAAGGAAAGAGAGAGAGAGAGGGAGGGATAGAGAGAGAGTGAGAGTATGAATGATAGAGAGGAGAAGTTTGTGAATGTGTGTGAAAGATAGAGAGGAGATGGTTGAATCTCTTCCACTGTACAGGTAATGGTTCTGCTGGCCAGCAAGATACCATTAATATTAATTTTGTATTTATTTTGCTTCGACATAATACTTTATTTACGTAATAAATCATTTCCATCAATAATTTTATAAAAATTATATTTTTTCTTGTTCGGATGACTGAAGTCATGTTGCTACAAGGAGGTTCATTAAGCCGATGTTTCGTAGGCTCGGAATGGCGAACGAGCTGGACGTAATATTGATATGGGCTGAGTGATATTTGTCCGATAGGTCGGTTGACCAGCTCCAGGAAGTATGGTCGTTTCTCCATATCTAGAGCTGGGACGTGTTGAGACAGGTCGCAATTGTTTGTTCGAACTATCTGTGGATGAGATTGTTGTGCTGAAGATTAAGCAAGTTAAAGAAACAAGTTAAACAATGTTGTAAAAACCTCTTTTCGCTTTTGCGGAATGTAATTCTGGTTTCAGGATGAAGTGCAATTCGACGTAAATAACATCCACAGAGGATCGAAGCTATGAACAAAATGATTGCTACAGACGATAAAATTCCAGTCATCCACTTTAGTCCGATTTCCACGCTACGGTCTGGAATTATACTTGGTTTATTGACTGCCTTCGATCAAAAGAGTTTCTTAATGCCATGCTTTCGGCCCAAGTAGTATAGTGGTTAGTACTCCACGTTGTGGCCGTGGCGACACAGGTTCGATTCCTGTCTTGGGCATTTCTTTTCTCTCTCCTCCTTTCAACTTCATAAGCTTATCTAATTGTTATACTCACATCTGCACCATACGTGCCATCCAGGTGTCCATGAACCGTTTATACAAGTCCTTTGAGGAGTTCCGTGAATGAAATATTCGGGTTTGCATGTGAATGTAACTGTTACGCCATCCAAGTAATTATTTCCGGGAGGATATTTCACAGCTCCTGGAGCTGTTAGCAATGCCCCACATGATTGAGCTGAATGAGTGGCGTCATTAGCTAAAATAGTAGGAAGACTTTACCTCTATGTGAACCCTTATGTTTCAGTTCCATCAGTTTGCTTTGCACTTCTAGTGTATTGAGAGCGATCTCTCTACGACCGGTTAGGAAATAGTCATATTCACACTCATAGACGTTCTGACAAGCCACCTTAAAACGCGAGTAGTGTCTATGTAGCTTGGATTAGAACTTACTCGAACTTCGTCAAGAGTAAAGACTAGACTGGCATTGAATTGAAGACGGTATGGATCGAAAACGGGGTTGTATTTACGATCATCACCAAATTGTAAAGGATTGTAGATTGGTTTGATGTCATCTTGGAATAACAGCTTATGCCTCGTACCATCGACTCTCCCTGAATGATTGATAATAGTACTCAATATTCAAATGTATGCTTACATCGCTGACCAAACTTATAAGCGTTGATGTTATCCTGTTCTGTCGGAGGATGACTAACGACAGTTATATGTCCATCTGGAGACATTAAATCATCCAAATGATTCTCATTAAACGTTCCCAACAACCCAACAGTTACGAATCGTTGACCTCCTGAAAAAATCTGTTTGAAAGGCACAATACGGATCTTTCCTTACCTCCAACATAATGAAGAGTTGATGGTTGTGTAACCTTATTGATAAATTCTTGTTGAATATTTGCAGTTCTTCGTCCAAACTCATCCGAGCCTGTACCGAAGTAGTCAGCCCCTCGGAAGTTCTGAAAAAGAATATTAAAACACTAGTTTCTTTCATTCTTTGAAGTACTGCATAAGTTTCATTGAAATCCGGCGGAAGCAATGTCATGACGGAAAGAACTCCATGAGCTTCTGCTACACGAACTCCTGCTCCCGAATCAAACATCACCATTATTTCCGATTGATTATGGTTGCGTTCAGGAGAGCGTAAAGTAACACCTCAAATATGGAAATTCATTATTTATTCTTGTTTTTTATGTTTGAATTACCTCGGAAGCGCTGCATTTTCAATTCAGGTGTATCGAAATAAACTTTATGGCCATTCACTACGATGTCCATTCGATAACGCCATCTGAAGCAAGTTTTCGTGTTAAGATTCTATTCAATGTTCGAGATCAACCTTCGGAATTCTTTTCTAGCAAAGAGCTGGACGATATCTGATTGGTTTTCTCGAGCAGCCACTCCAGTGATGACAGAAGCGTGAACTTCTTGGTTCCCTTAAATCATTTAAATGAGTTTCAAACATATAAAATATAGTTACAATCTGTTTTTGGCGGTTGTTCCATTCGAATTTGAACTTGAAGATCATGACGAGGATCTTTACTCATCGCTAACACATAATACCCCTTCCCTTGGAATGTGTACCGAGTTCCGTCGAATGTGACGAAGTGTGGATCTCCATAAGCGATTCCTAAATCATTCATTTTTAATGAATCTTGTTTTTTTTGTAATTAAACCTGCCACAGGTGGAATATATTCTTGACAGCCGGATGTTTGACGTCTCCAGAAGTAGAATTCACATGCTCCAGCCCATTTGCAGCATTTTTCATAAGCCATTGTATCAGTGTGGAAGTTTGATAAAGAAGGAACATAAGGTGGACGTTTGAATGGGAAGGATCCCATCGGATGAGCTCTACATAACGCAAGGTTGCTTGAGTTGTTGGAAAAAAACAAACCTTTGAGCAGTTCCGGGACTGAAGAACCGCAGATGGGCAGCGTTTTCATAATCATCAGAATGCATAAGCCAACCTTCAAAGTCATAGCAACAAACTTGACCAGCACCTGTCCAACTGAAAACAATTAACTTTAAATGTTATAAATTGAACTGATCAGTTACGTTGCTGCTGTACTCATAACACAGTGTTGAGCTCCTTTATTGTACTCGCAAGATGCATCACCATCAATATCGCAGCCAAACAACGGCATGTAACGACCTGAAGTTACACATGATGAAAATCAAAACTCGAGGTACTTACCCAAATCTAACATAGCTTGATCCATAGTACATGGACAAGGCACAAAGGGTTCCAAGTCCATTGCGAAGTTCACACGCTTCCCATCATAGTCAAACCAATCCTTTAAAATTTTTGTTCCTCACGTTATCCGTTGTTATCAAACCTGGCATAGCTCTAACGCCCAATGGCGGCCCAGCTCGTACTCCCACACATCTCGGAAATACCATCCAAATGGTGTCAGCTTGCTCCAGAACACTCTAGAAATGATAAATTTGATGATAAAACGTAACTATGAGTACCCAGTTGTTTGATCAGCATCAGAAATGGATATCCTAACAACTCCAAACGAGTATTTCCTCCAAGAGTCGAAAAGCATAGTTGTCCGAGCTAGAGTTCTTGGATCGAACTCATACAAACCGTCGTTCGATGTTCGCTCAGCTATAGTTCCAACCTGGTAAACAGGTAGTTGAGATTTTGAACATGTGTGAGTTAGTTACTTCTTCAAAAATATGATCATCTGTATCTTCCCAATATCCCATCAGTTTGATATCCACCATAGCGTTGATATCATTTGTCAAGTTATAAGGTGCCCATTCTAAACGAAGCCTGGTGGCATTCGCACTTCTCCAGTTATTGTGCGGTTCTCGAGGATTATCAATCAGTTTAATATGTGGTGAAGCTAATGAAGGTTGCACTATAATTTGTATGAAGTGTATGATCATAAGTTTGATGTGCTTACGTAGGTAGAATGTACCGATGTACGGATAACTCTGACCCCCATCTCGACTCATTTTCGTATTCACCAATCCTGTTTTATACATCCGATTCACAGGCAGCACACACTGAGCTCGATGCATACTAAGCTGCAAATAAGATGTTGTTTTCTGAAGACTTCATTAAGGCATGATACTTACCCGTATACAATCCACTTGATACTCATCAAAAATGACTTTGACTACATCACCACCCCGTAAACACGGCCCTGAGACATTTACATAGACTCCTCCAATCATTGTAGCAGCAATTGGGGCAGTAGTCATGTATCCTTGAATTAAGTACGGTCTTTCAATCCAAAAATAACAGGAAAACTCCTACCTATACTCTCGTTACTACATCCTCCTCGGATGATTTCCTCATCAACTCTGAATAGCCAACGTCCTGGGATTCCTACATTTGAGAATTCGCGCAGCTTGATAACTCGACCCTCTCCAGAGTAAGGAAGTGCTGTCCATCCAGTACCGTTTCCGCCGTTAAAACCCGCCTTTACATTTGCATGATCATGAATCTAACAATTCAGAATTCAACTCACAATTGCACTTTGAAGACCTCCTCGACCTTGCAAAGCTCCAGCAGTATTGGAGGATGTCCAGTTGATATGAGCATAGTTGAACATAACATAACTGTATAAGGGAATGTTGTTGTATTGAGATTTTCGTTGATACCTTCTGATTTCATCTGTTGCAAGAACCACTTGATATGTATTCGTCCACCTCTTCGCTTCCTCATATCTATTAACCTGAAAAATTCATTCTCAGATTTCCTCAAATGAAATTTAGTAGAATTTTCAAGATTCTGCTTGTTTCCAAGTAATCTTCAATTCAATTTCGTGTTCTCATTTAATTTTTAATGACCTGAGTGATTTTTGGAGCTCCACCATAGGCCATTCGCTCCCAGGTGACGATGACCGCATAATCGGCTCGAAATCCGTTTGCTCCAATTATTCCTTCTCTGATGGCCATTGTTATATTGTCGAGCAGATATGTATCCTCAACTCTACCCCACATCTGAAAATGATTGAAAGTCATGTTGAACAGTGAAAAGTTCAGTGTAGACGTACTCTTTTCTCATAACGATCACGTGCAGTCTCGAACATGCTGCCATATTCATCTTTAGGATTGATTAATGGACTTCCCCATTCATCAAAAGTTTCAAACGCTCGTGGACGGAAAATAACTCTACAGGTTATAATATTATAACTATATGTTATGATTATATCTCTTACCTGTACCACACATTTGAAATACCTCGTTCTCCTACGAATTGGAAGATCTGATCAGCATAGAAGGCAGCTATGAATGACGCATCCTATGAATGAGATATTGATTTGTGTTAAGAAACAGTTACTGACTCTTTGTTCCGGCCAACGAGGATTGGGAAATGTGTAAGGAGGTTGAATGAACTCAGGATCAGAGAACGCCAGCATTCCATTCGGGTAGATCTGAGAAACAAAAAGAGTGTTGCATAACAACAGCTGATTACCATTGTGTAGTTGAAGCGGAACCCATAAAAGGGAAAATCAAAGTCGAAATCGATTTGTCGATCATGATGAGGCTTGTTCAACAGATTGGCATCGTTATACAGAGGACCATACGGGAAGAGATGCCACCAACCTTCAGAGAGAAAGATAGTTTGAGATGAATTTGGTTAGCTTGCCTTCTTCCTCTCGCAAGTCCATGTACTTCTCTCTTTGATCAAGTAAAGAAGGATCAACATGTCCCGGATTGGGCATATAGTTAAAGACTGGCTGTTTATTACCAAACAAGTCAATCGTAGACATCTCAGCATAAGTCTGTTGAGCATCACAACAAGGCTTTGTGAGTATGACTGTTAAAATAAAATATGAAAACCATTTAAGGATACCTATAACATCATTTCATATCATTAACTGTTTGTTAGATAAATCACACTACCATCTATGCTAGCACCTTTGAAAGCTAAATAGAAGAGGAGCATTGCTCTCTTGCTCTGCACAGTATCGGATACGGTGATCTCTAGTGGTAAGGCGACTCTATCTCTTCTAGAATAGTAATGGGTTATATGTCCTAATTCTAATCAAAGATAAAAATATTTGAAACAAACAAATCAATAAAGCAAAATGAGAGGTTGTAGGTGAAAGCTGAGAATGAATGAAGCCAACGGTAAGCAAAGGTCTTATCTTCCATTGACCTTCCATGGCGTAGTCATGGGTACTAATCTCGTAATAATCCAAAATTGATGCCTTGCTCACCGATCTGTTCCTTTTAAAATGAATACACCAAGACATATACATAATATCTCCTGACCTTATAAGCATTAAATTATAATGTTTTTACCATCAATTCAATTTCTCAGATAATTAATTTTACATTTCGGAAGCATCTTCATGAATGACATCTGCGTCAAACGCTGTCCTATCAATTGCGCACGACCACTCTAATTTTTTTATTTCGTCTGTAAATGAAACGAGCTGACACCGCAAACTATTTGTTTTCAAAATGAAAATGAATCTGAGGATCTGTTTGGAAGACCAACCGCACCGTGTGAGTTACTTAGTAAACATGAATTACCCTGACAGCTGTGGATGACCATAGGATGAGATGTGCTACTCCATTTACCTGCATCATTTAAAAGATGTTCAAAGAGAGTAAAAAAGAGTAGGTAAAAGAGAGAGAGAGTGTTAGAGATAACTGTTTTATGTATATTAAGATATTCCCGTATGTTTTACAAACAAACAAATGAGAACGAATATTGATGAAATGACTAGGAAAGACAGCTAAAACAACGATAATCATCAACACAATTGGTCTGTCACAATCTACTTTTCTATCACATATTACCTAATAAAGAGAATGTATGTTCTTATATGGAATGATTGTTAATAGCTTCCGTTAGGTATGAGTTTAGATGTTGTGTTAATCATCTTATTGGATTTGAGAGCTGAAAAGTAACGTGGACGATCAACGGATCGACGTCTTTCCTTTGTTGGTTGAGGTGGTTGTATTATACGTTTGCCAGATGATCCACTCCGTGAACCACGCGAATCAGCTGATTGAGCTCGTTCTACAAGCATCAATCATATTATGATAATTGATATGAATCCTATACCTCGTAATGTTCCCAATGTATCTGTATATGAACCATTCTTCTCAACACTTGCTGCTCTTGCCAGACTTCTAGCTGTATCATAATCGGTGTCGCTACATTCAGCTTGTGCTATGGGTGCAGGTCTTTCATTACGATTAGCAGGAGGCTTAGATGATATGGGTCGTTCAATCTATAATTAAATGCATAAAGTATAATGATGAATGTGTATATGAAAACAAACAATTTTGGTTATTTTGTCATGTTGAATACGTCGTATGTGAGTCTTCTTCATGTTCATCATGTCATAGAGCTTGTTACGGTATTCGTCAACGGAGAGCTGGATATGATCCGGCAATGGTAGTGATACCTACAAATGGAAATCCCTTTTTAATTTTTCATTTCCTTTTTCTTGTAAAATAAAAATAACTAAAATAGTAGTATACTGACGTCATAAGGTAAGACAGGCTCATCGGCAGGATTATGGAATTGGAGAACATAGGGATGGACCAAACATTGCTCTATTGTTAATCGCTTATGTGGAGCGAATATTAATAATCTGAATAATGTAAGAGTCAGACAGTTTCGTTTTCAGCACAAGAACTAACCGATTGATGAGATCAAGAGCATGTGGATTGTTGCTGGGAATCATTGATTCCAATGGTTTTCGTGGTCTTTGAGGCATTTTCTCCAATACAGAAGCTGCATAATGACTTCCTGCAACATACATAAGTGTGATGATATATAGAGAGTGAAAGAGAAGGTGAGAAAGAGAGAGAGAGTGTGAGAGTGAGAAGAACAACATACCAATGCTTTCAACATCAGATTTGGATGGTTTAGCAATCGTGTTCATAATTCGTTCAATCTGATTAATCGTTGATGTTCCAGGAAATAGTGCTCGCCCTATAATGATTCATATGAATGCATCTTATCTATATGTATAGTGATCTGAATATGATAATAGACAAACCAATAAGCATTTCAGCCAGAATGCATCCCAGACTCCACATATCAACGCCTTTCGTATATCGCTTAGCAGCCAATAGTATTTCTGGGCTTCTGTACCATCGAGTGGCAACATATTCCGTCAAATCTGGCATATTCTGGCCTTCTGGATAATCTTCTAACTATAAAATTTGATTTTATAATACATTCCATCAATCTTTTGTGTGATTACCGATGATAAACTACGAGCTAAACCGAAATCTGCTAACTTAACGCGACAATCCGCATCCAACAGCACGTTCGACGGCTTCAAATCTCTGCAAATGTGCTTTATACTTGTTAACATAACAAATCAATCTATTGGCATTGAAATGAAAAAGAGTTTTACGTTCCTCTCTCTCCAACCGGAAGTTGCCAGTTGAAATGAGCGGAAGTAGCTCTTTATGAGAAAAAAACTGATAATAAGATGAAAGATTGAGATTGTACATATGGAAATGTGTGTTCTCTGCCTCAATTCCCTTCAATACTACCTCCCCCTCTCTATTTTCTCATACCAAAAGCTTTTTTTTCTTTTTTTAAATTGAAGTAAACACAGACACACACGGACTGAGATACACGGTACACTCCCACACACACACATACACTCACACCTATACTTGGATGATATGATGAAGTGAAATAGATTTGAAACTAGAACATCTTTAGGAGAGAGAGAGAGAGAGAGAGAGAGCAAGAGAGGCCTTATACTGGAAACCCTCCCACTCTCAATTTCTTTTTTTTCTCTTTTTCTTCTCTCTTCTTACAAACAAATGTCTTTCTTAAGTACGGAAATCCGGCAACAGATCCGGAAAAACTTAGTTCGAGATTCAAAAAAAAAGAAAAAACGGAGAGTTGGAGAGCAGCAAAGGAAAAACTGAATTTCAGGTGAAAGTTTGGAAATGAGTCGGAAAACTTTGGTTAAAGGTTAGCATATGCAGAGCAATCAAGTAAGGAGTAAAAAAATAAATAAAAATCGAGATGAAAAACCGATTTCAACGGCTCATTGCGTCATCTCCTGAGGCTAGGTGACGTCATAAGTGCATTGAGATGCTTCTACGTGAAGATGATGACGGTGAATGATGAACGAATGAAGAGAGAGAAAGATAAAGATAGAAAGGAAGATGGGTACATCCATGAAGAAGAGTTGTATTTATGATCAAGTTGATTACCTGTGTAACACGTTTCCACTATGTAAGAATCGAATGGCACGAAATAATTGGCACATTATGTATTGTTTATGAATATCTTTGAGAATAGATTGCTTCTTGATAACATTATGTAAATCAGCTTCCATAAATTCAAAAACTAAATAAATATCTCTGAAAGATGACATAGTTAGTGATTGAGAGGGCATAGTATAGATATGTATAAGGATATGGAAGCTTACCTATCATTATCAGCTTTAATTATATTGAATAGTTTAATAATGTTTGGATGACGTCCAAATTCTTGTAAAAACATTATTTCACGAAATGTTCGTTGAGAATCAGTTGCATTACGGAACGCATCGAATATCTGATGGAGAGAGAGAGAGATAACTATACTAACTATATGTCTGGATGATGCTTACCTTCTTTAATGCTACAACATCTTTCGTACGCTTATCGATTGATTTCCATACAATACCATAAGCCCCTTTACCCAATCGTTTTTGGACTTCATAACGTTCACGAACGTGCTGTTCGACTTCTTCTGTAGTCATACCCGTTTATATTCTGAAAATAATCAATAATTGCTATAATTTTATATGAAAATATACATGTTATAGATGAAAAAACTTTGTATAGAAGACACAGAGAGAGATAGAGAGAGAGAAGGGAAAGAAAGAGGGAGAGAGATGGAGAAAGAGAGAGAGAGGAAGGATAGGTAACGAGGATGAAGCTGAAACATCTCATCATCATCATTATCATGCTCATCTCTCTATCATTCAGATTCAAATATACTTATTTCAATTTCAATGAACAATTTAAAAGGGCAGAATGCGCATAAGAGACAATCATTCGTTCCAAGTATGTGAGGTGGAGAAGCTTTGACAAGAACGATTTAAAGGTGGGTGGAGAGAATAAAGAGAAACAGAAAAGGGGGGAAGCAAAAGATTGAGAGGGAATATGAGAGAGAGAGATGGAGAGAGAAAGAGAAAGAGAGAGAATACGAATCAAAAAGAAAATATATAGAAAGAGTAAGAGAGAGGAAGAGAGAGCAAAGCAACTACGCCGTGTGGAAACCATGGAGACGCCGAAGGGCAGTCGCGGTCTAGCTACAGCAGCAGAATCTCCATCTTTATATATTACATTACGAGATGTTTATAAGCTGTGTAATGAAGGCAGAGAATAGGAAGGTATATCTCTATACAAGGAAATTGAGAAAGATAAAAAAAAAAATTTCGAAATAGACTATCAATCGCGGCAGTAGTAATGGCAATGGCAGTAGTAGTAGTAGTAGAAGGAGGAAGAAGAAGAAGAAGTCGAAGGATAGGAGGTGGAGGAATAGAAGAAGCCAAACCTTGAACGGTGAAGAAGATGATGATGATCGTTAGAAGACCAATATATGTATGAAATAATTTTTTTTGTTGTTTTTCACGAGTGAGCCTTCACGCTCTAATGATGATTGGGATTGTGGAGGATTTCTTCGAAATTTTATTGTTTTTTTTTTATTTTTATAAAAAGAAAAAGTGAAAAGAAAAGAAAAGAAATCAGATGGCAAAAGCTTGAAATAAGCTGAATTTCATGGAAATTTTCCGTTTTTTTTTTGTTTTTTCCAACCATAATTACTTCATTAGAAATCCGTAGAAAGAGAGAGAGAGAGGGAGGGAGAGGGAGGGAGAGAGAGAGAGAAAGAGTCACTGAGAGAGAGAGTTACAGAGGGATTGCTTGAACGTCCTTGTTATTAAAGACACACCTTGGCTTTGACAGGAAAATATCTTCAACGAAAACGACGACAAACAACATAGTTTGAGCTTTAAACTCTAAAATAAGCTTAAACCTTGTAATTTGCATATTATTGATTCATTGGTTCCTCCAAATGTGTACTTTGATCATCGAAAGGTAAGTGATTCGCTTTTGAGAGCGGAAGTTGTGAACCTGTGCTTTCACTTGTTCAAATCGATTTTTACTCATTCTCTCCGGGTTTTTTTCTTCTTCTAATTCCCTCTTTTGACTCCCTCCCTCTCTCTCTCTCTTTCATGTCTACAATGTGTATGTGTATGTGTATGTGTATGTGTACATGTGTATGTAGTGTGCTTCTATTCGTTTCATTCTCTCCCTTTAACTTTCTCTCTCTATCTCTACCTCTATCCCTCTTTCTCTCTCTCTCTCTATATGTATTTTTATTGTGAATCAAGGAAAAAACACTTTGAACAAGCAGGTAAAGCTATAACTTATGCTTTTTCATTTGAAATTATACAAATAAAAATGTATTTGTGCTCTTTGTCTGCTTGTCTCATATAATTAATGAAATAAATTGAAAGACTATTATATTAAAAGCAGATAAAACTATTCTGTTTTGTAAAGGAAAAGTTAGAATAGGAAAGAGCATGTTGATGAAGCTCAACGACAGAAAGACAATCAGCTATATGAACGTATGAAATGGACAAGGAATGAAGGTGGAGAAAGGAGAGGGGAGAGGGAGTGAAGCAACCGTTCGCTTTCATGCAAATGAATCAAAATGAAGTTAGGCGTACGTGAAGTGGATTCACGTGAAAAAAAAAAGTTTTTCCGTCTGTCAGCTTATCTATAAGTACATGCTGACGTTCTATGGACGATCTGTATTGTGATTCTGCTTAACTATATGTTATAGTTAACTATTACATATAGCGTAATGAAGTTATGTTTAACGAATCGATTTAACTGAGACTAAAAATGGAATTTCATTACATAAACTCAAATAATATAATTTAGAAATGAAAATTAAAGGTATAAATGGCTGTATGAGAGAGAGATGAAGCTGAAGTGGAAAGCTTGAAGTTTAGGAAATGAATGATTGGTGGACAAACTGAGAAGTTTGGGTCAACTATGAATTGAACCTTTCTTTGGGCACACATAGACATCCCGACAATGTTATTGACTTGCATGCAGGTAGCGTCAGATAAAGCTGAGCAGATGAGAGAGAGGAAGAGAAAGCAGGTGAGAGAAGAAGAGAAAAAGAGATACAAAGGAGAGAAACAGAGAAGCTTTGAATATGAGGTGAGTGAAGTAAGCGAATGAATCTTATGCACCTGTGCTTATTGTTATGACCTTGTTCATGAAACAATCAACCTCGAACACATTTAGAGAATGGAGATGAAGCTCTCATACATTCACAACTATCCAGCAATTACATATAGTTAGTAGACTCATGTAATATAAGGCTTATACGTAAATTGAGTCTCAAAACGAAATAATGAAAGTATGAAGTTTCCCATGATTTATGACCTTTCCTAATATGAATTCCTTATATAGCAATGTCAATGTTCTTTGTTATGCCTCGCAATCTTTCATCAACCATCTCATTCTATCCTTTACGCCTAAAGGAACTTTCAGTCCTCTTTCAACTTCAACATATTCCCAGAAAACTTCTTCTTCGAGCTTTAAGGACAAAAGTTACATAAAAATGAATTATTAAGTTGCCATATATGGATTTCTTCTTCATTTCATGCACTCACATCTGTGAGAACTACATCCTTCGTCACACCTGCTTAGTACTCTTCTATATCTCTCTCCCTCTCTCCCTTTCTCTCCTATTGCTTTAGAGGGCTTAGTTCGGTCATTTGTATATCTCATAGTTGCTTTCCCTCCCAGATAGAATTTCCTTCTCAACTTTGACTTTCCACTTTCTCCACTTTCAAACTATCGTTCTCACACCTTGCAGCAGAAGAAGAAGAAGAAGAAGATCTCCTCCTCTCTCTCTCTCTCACTCACTGTCTCTCTCTCTCTCTATCTCTTGTGCTACCTCTTTCTCTTTGTTAATCAGATATCTATTACATTAACAAAAGACGTCAATAAAAGGTGAAAAAAATTTTTGCGAAATGAGCCAGTTAAGCTAATTGTTAGCCTTCAATGGAATATTCATTAGAAGAAGGCGGACGAACACCTGTCTATTTGCAAATGACAAACGAGGGAAAATGCAAATATGAGAGAGTTTGATTCTGCTTTAACCTAAAAAGGAAAATAAAATGCTTCAATATAGAGGAACAATGAGGGAAATTCGTTGGAAATGCTCTAAGCTTACAAGAAATATGCAAATGCTGCAGTCGTTTGTGTCATTTCAATTATTCAAATGAGGATTACAAATTTTTTTTTTATTCTGACTTTCCATCTCTCTGTCTCTTTCAGTGTTTGGAGAGATACATGCGATATGAATATTGAACGAGTTTATGTATATGAATGTATATACACATATGAGATCTTCATAATATTATAATTAGCATAGTTAATGGCATTTCCAAAAAAGCAGATGATTCACAGAGTCTGTAGCTGGGTCTTGTTGAGAGTCTCGCTCTTCCAATCCTTCACCACAACTCAATATCAGCAACTGAAATTGATGAATGCACTGTTGCTCATCTTAGTATCATACCTCTGATGCTTGTTGAGCTGGTATGTTCAATGACATCCTCTTCTGCTTCTTACTGATTGTGATATTGATAGGTATTAATACACGTGATGGACCACTATGTGCTACGTCACATACTTCAAATGGATATTTGCATTTTCAATTGACTTTTATACTTTCGCTTTACCTGTTAAGCTAGGATTAGGTTGTGACCGAGCCGAATTCAATGGAGCACAAACTACAAACCCAGCAGATGTGCCAATCCATAAATGCCATCGAGAGACAGTCATACATGATATCCGTAAACATCCCATTTTATGTTCACGTAATATATCTTCTCTTCCTATAATTATTCATCTTTAACAGAAGGTTTCCTTTCCTCCCATTCTCTCTCTTTCTCTGTGATTTCCTCTCTCTCTCATACTTTCTCTCGTTGAGGTCTAGCGTACCTGCTAATTGAGTTCGAATGACAGCTGAAATACTGAAATGACTCAGTATCTCCAAGGTGAAAGCATCAAGTGCATGAACTGTGGTAGATCTACAGAAAACCGTTTCAATACTCATTCATCTCATACGTTTTCCTTACGTTTTCCCGGATGCATAGATAATCGTTCCAGCAGCACTCATAACGGTGACCTCATCACCCGGAGGTAAGAATCCCGGAGAACTCTTGAAATAGATGAAGATGTTTAAAAATGTTTTTAACATGAGTAAGAGGATTTACCTGCCATTTCAAAGTTTCCGTGTCAAAGATATGAATACTGGACGAGCTGGCAACTATCAATCTCCGTCCAATTATTTCCAAGGCGTTTATTGAGGATTTGAGGCCATGTTGAAGGATTGTTGGATTATCCAAATCCCATGATCTATCTGAAAGTTCAAATAGTTTGATATCAATAACATAAGAGGGAAAGCTGCCTGATAACGGTTTAAAGCACATGAGAATGGGATCAGAATCCGTAGAAGTAGCGATATAAACAAATCCGTTACAAGGGCAAATTGCTGTCACAGGATTGGCCAAGCGAGCAACTCTTTCACGTGGTCTTGTTCGAACACGATCCGTAGAATTCATAACAAACACTCTGAAGAAGTGTAATAGAGGATTTTTGACTGAAGTCAACTTACTCTCCATCTTCATTTCCTATCCATACGGTCGTCTGTCCGGAGGGAACAACTCCATCTTCAGATGATGAGTCAGATGATTCACCACTACTACAATGAAATGACAAAGAGTCTTTGGAGATAGCTCACCTATGCAGATCTAATAAGCTCTCATTCCTGCTCAAGAGATCCAGTGATTTTTGAGTTCTCATTTTTCTCTTTTTTGGTTTCCTTCAAATAATCAATGAGATAAATGAAATTATGTATTTTGATAAACATTGGTGGAGGCACCGTACATGCCGCTGTGATAGCTGCATTTCCTATTCCAGCACTGCTTTCTATGGTCGGCTCACCGTTTTCCAATGAAACCACAGCAACCTGAAAAACAATTATTTCTCTTTATTTGACACATTCTTTTGTTTCATTTACTTGGCCACTGAATTTATCACTGGCACATATCCATACTGATGGTGTACTATCAACACGCTTACCAGGTACCACGGTAGCTTGACATAACTGAAATAATCCATGATTGGTTAGATTCCTGACGACGTCAAAAACCTGTAATCCCGGCCTAGTTTGATGAGCAATAACTGATTTCAGTTGGCTTGGTGATGCTGATAACTGTTGATTAACTACAATTTCAATATTACTTTCTTGGTATCTTTAACAATATGATTACTCAATGAAGCTTTGGTCTCACGGAACGCACACTCCCAGGCTGCCCGTTTTTCAGCATTTCCGAACTCTAATGGAACGATCTCTAATCCATTTCTAAAATGAATGTACTGCTGTTTCCAAGAATATTATTTCAAATTACATCGTGGCAACACTCAATTGAACTGTTGTCAGATCGGGATTGGTTGTCATTTGGTCAGTCAATGAGCGAAGTCTTTTTGAATTATCTGAATCAACTTCATCGAGTATACCCATGAGCTTCTGAAGAGAGAACAGATTTAATTCTCAGAAAATAATAATTAATCAAACCTCCTTATTAGATTTCAATAGGTTAGCTAATTCAATTATTTTTTTAATAACTTTCTCATCCTCTCGTACTGATTCGATGGCGCTCTCTGTTTCTTGGAGCATAGCCAATGTATCTAAATTGTCGTTAGATGAAGCAACAGAAGATCCTTCTCACCTTTGCCAATTTGAACATCATCTAACGAAATCTTAATAAGCAATTTGAATTTGTTGCTGTCTAGAAAGTCCGCTGATTGAGTTCTAAAAGATAAGACGTTACTCTAGGGAACACTCAGTCTTCACCGTACATGAGTTTTCCATTCCTATTAGGGTTCTTCCTTTTTACACTTGTAAGAAGAAGTTGATCACTCAAAGTGAAGACACAGCGTTGCTGCTTGCCTTCCCTTCCATGCATTGTAACCATATCATATCGTATAAGGTTTCTTCCCGATGATACAAGCTTCAAAAACAACATTAAACTCAGCTATGAAAACGAAGTACAAACATCATCCAGCCCATCCACAATAGCTTCGATCTCTCTCAAACGTTGTTCTTGTTGTTCATGAGCATCTTTATGTTGATTTATTGCTATCTAAATTGATGTTTTTCATTTATTTATACATCCCAATGATCTCTCTACCGCCAAGTTATGGATATGTCGTTGAGCTCGACTCAGGCGTTCGTGATCGCTGTGTTCTGCTGGTGTATGTTTCAACAGTTGCTTAACCATCAACTCATATCTGAAGTGCACAAAATTGATCTGAAAAATTAAAAAAATACTAATAAACCTTGGAATACGCTGAATTGGGGATATCAGCAGAGAATCCAAATCAAGCTTGTTCCTATGATCTCTACAGCATCTCTAAACCATTCATCTATATATGGTAAGTTCAATGATTGCTATTACTCACATTATAATATTTCTCGAATGATGGTTTAAGACGTGCTTGAGCAATAGCTTGTTTGGCTGCCTTGAAGTTATCAACAAACGATATGTATGTTTCAATCATTGATTGCTTTGAAAACTAAAACAAGATTCGTTATTCATTTTCAATGGTGTCTCGAACTACTCACATGTCCCAATAGTACATCTCCGATGACAGAGTCTTTATGCCAATTCTCAATCCGCGAACTGAGTGCTGCTAGTAAAACCTTCAAACATTTATATTTTTGAACTTTTTTCATCTCTATCCGATTACTTGATGATGAGCTAGTATCTCTGGAATTCGATAAAATATTTTATCGACCAATCCAGCTTCAATGAGTGTACACTCAAGTGGTTGACGTAACGGTCTCATGTATTTCTATAATATCTAATTAGCATAAGCTCAAAATGCTCACGTGAAATCTACGTGACATATCAACATAACCACACATTTCATTTCATACATGATGTTGATGTTGAGCGGTTGTGAAAATGAATTAATTACAATGCTTACCGTCACAAGGAATTCCAAACCTTCAACAAAAGATTTTTCTGTATCAAATAACTCCCTCGCAGCTAAGTTTCGAACACTGAAGTATGAGAAGAAGGATTATCAGGATCATGATGTAAAGATTGCCTGTAATGTCTCCTTAAACTTGCTCTTGATCTCTTCTTCCACAACATGATATCTGCTTCTAATAAGGAATTATCCATTTGGCATTCCTCATCTGCGGATTGTGAGTAGACGTATGGACTCCTTCAAATATTCAAATATTACTAAATATTATCTTCCATCATAAGCACCATGTGATTGTGGGATGTTGATCTGGGGAATTTGGACGTGAACGAAAACTCTTAAGCAATTTCGAGAAACGGCTTACTCCGGCTAAGCTTTCAGAGCCTTTACGATCTAACAGCTGATTTGTCGATGAGTATAGCTCATCTACGACACCACGTCTCCTATAAACAGAATTATTTATTTAAAAATAACTTTTTTGAAAATACTACCTTGTTCGCGGGCTTTTCTCAACAGATATGCTTTCTGGATAAGCAAGGTATGATGGATCAGGTGCTGAAGTCTTTCGACTGATGGAATTTCTCGAACGGTATGTGTCCGATTGACTAGATCCAAAGCTATCGTGACTATAATCGAAAAGATGAAGCTTATATATGCAAAATGAGATTTACCGTATAGATGGGAGGAACTGCATCACTCCACGTGGATGACCAAATTTAGTAGAAATACCAGAAACACGGCCTTCTGTTCCGGTATCTGTTGCTGTAGAAGCGTCATCAGCATCCGAAAATACTCCTCGATCAGATGAATGTTGAGGTGGTAGTTTGAGAACACGTTGTAGACTTTGAATAGACTTAGCAGCATCACGTAGCTCTTCAATTTCAGTGCTCATGTCTTCTCCACCAGAATCACTATCATTCTATACGTAAAGACATATATAGCTCTCTCAAATCATATGATATAATTAGATTTACTTGGGTGACTGATGATGTAAGCTTTGGTAAATGATCCAATATAATCCGTAAAGTATCAATATCCAATTGCTAAACATATTTTTTTCGTCAAAAAAAGAATAAAATGATGATGACAAACGTCTTGTGGAGCTCCTTCAACATTTGGTTCTGAATTTGTTTTTCTCAATCTTTTACGACTTTCGCTTCTTTCCCGACTTGCGTAGATACTCCGTTGACGACGTTCTCTTTCTCGCTCACGAGACTTTTCAATATTCAAATTGAAATCAGAACGTCTTCTGAAATGAGAATACACTTTCAAATGATAACAAGAATATAGTCATATCTGCCTCTTCCTCTCTCTCTCTCTCTCTGTTTCTTAGTTTCAAATGAAAAAAACAAACAAACAAACAAGCTCATACACACTCACACACACACGAATGATATATATACCTCGCTTGATGCTGCTTGAATGAATTACGGGTACTAGGAGAGACTGTGGCTGAACGTCGAGGCACTCGAATTGGAGAGAGAGAGCTTTCAGAAGAATCAGAATCATCTGCATCGTTTGGATTCAACGAGTGCCTTGTGGGCATTCCTTTGAAAATCTTTAAAACAGAATGAGTTCACAAACAAAACATATCTTAGCATCAGCAGATAGTTGTTGTCTTCTACTCTCTAAGACAACAACTGAAGAAGTAAAAAGCATTGGAGAAAGCATAAATGATCAATTAGATGAATGAAAATGAAAGGTAAATGAGAGATAAATGCATAAATGATTAGTTGTTGTAGCTGTTCGCTATGGAAGGAACGATACTTCTTCGTGTTAAGATGATGAAGATGATGAGAGCAGGCGCGTTTAGGTGGACTTTCAGTCTCAACATCTGAGCTTGTCGTCTTGAAGGAAAAGCTTAACAAACTTGATGAGGAGAAGAAGAAGAAAAAAAGTTTTTTTTGTTGCTTCTCCAGTCACTCACTTGTTATCGAGTAAAAATTTCTATTGAAAAATGGCTTAAACGATCTAAGTATCTTGAATGACATACAATTAGAGGAGCACATATAGATCAGCTGTTGATTATATTGTTAATGACAAAGAAATTGTATAAATAGTTAGAATAGTTAAGAACTTAATCATAATATAATTAATTGAACAGTAAGAGTGGTAGCCAGAGAGATGACAGAGTGGCTAGAAAGAGGATGAAGGTAGGAAAAGTTATAACTAAGTTGAACAGTGGGCAAGAGGCGATGAATGTTAGAGATAGATTGTAAATAGTTATGACTAGTATAACTTGGAGAAGAGAGAGAGGGGAAGGCTAGAGATAGAGAAGGATAAAGCATATAGTAATGAATAATTAGGAGTTCAACGTCTCTTCTAATTGTCTTAACAATGAGATATAGAGAGAGGTGACTTCTATAGCTGTGAAGAACGGAGTGAGAGCCAGTCGCAAACAGTTCTAACTTCATAAACGACTTTAAGAGATAAGAACGAAGAACTTACAAAGACGTTTGAATAAGTTTCAATTATGTAGAGGAGAGGGATTACTTACACAATGAGAGAGAGTAACTGAAGGTATAGAGAGAGAAAAAGAAAAAAATAAAGTTAAAGAGAATCAGAGGAAAACGAAGGAGAAGGGGGAGAAAGCAAAGAACATCAATCGGATTCAATATAAGTTTTAAATATTTCGTATAAACAGCATAATTAGCATATAAAATAGAGGTGAATTGTTCGCATCGAAGATCGTTCGCAGCTCAAAGATGCTCTAACAATGAATTGTAATGTCCTCTATCGGTTTGGGTCAACAGCTGACGTCAACTACTAAATCCTTAACAACTTCTTTTCTTTTATTTTTAAAATATTTGTTTTATATTATTTATAAGTAAGGATGAGAATGAAATATATAATTATAATCTTTTGGAAGCAGTTGTACAATTTCCTCAATGAGATCGATCAACACCTAGCTTCTGATTGCTCCGTATTCCCTCCTCCTAAGATCGTCTTATCATAAGTCCTTGTGTTGAGTTCACAACCTCATTTTTCAAGTACAAAGTTATATTTCAAAATATCTGATAAGAAAAACCTATTTCCATGTCATATCAAAACGTCTTAAGCTTAATAAACCTTGTTGAAGCATTGAAATGAAGTTGAATAGGTTTTCTCGTTCTTTCTCTCTTTCAAACTATCATGTTGGATGTCTGATTTCTAGAACAGACTAGATGAGACAAGAGGTCGCCTTCCTATGGTCAGGAAACACTTGTTCTCCTGTTTGCTGTTTAGTAAACCTCCATTTGAACTTTGAATGAATGCATCATTAACCAGTAATCTTTGATTTTTCTTTGAAATCTCTATTTAACGTAAGCTGTTTTCATTTCTCTCTCTCTCTCTACCTCTCCATCTCTCTTATGCACATGTTTATATTGAAGCTTTTCCTTTGGCAACTTGAAGCTGCAACCACAATTTCCATCGGTGCACTCTCTCTTTCTCCTTCTCTCACTTGTCACTTTCCATCCTCGACCCCACCTGATTAGAAACCTCGTGTTTTTATACTAAACAAAAACCTTTTTATGTTTCATTCAACTGATAGTACAGTTATCAATCTATGTTTCTCTAAATCTCTTCATTATGCATTATCATTCTGGAAATATTGTGAAATCCTTTTTCTTTTTCCGTTTCTTTCTTTTCTTCTGCGTACTTCATCTTACATTGCAAATACATTTGAACTCTTATTTGAGAAATGAAATTACTTCTGAATGTCCCCATAGGGCAGTACAGGCCTTTCCTTTCATACCTTCTTCCATGCCTTTTACAATCATCTGACTTATCGTCTTTCAATACTATGTCTTTCCACCTGTTTAAACGAAGATCGACTCATTCTGTTGTTGTCCTTCATATTTCATTTTAAGATGAGGCTCTCCATTGTCGGTCTTCTTCTTCTCCATCACTGACAACGTCATCATACTCTAACCATATGATTTATTATTTAAATATTTTCTTCATCGACTTATCATACTAACTATTTCACGTATTTCACGTGGCGCTCGGGAAACATTGTTTGACGTCATCACGCGCATCCGACTCTGATCATTTCCTTTTCCATTCCACGTGGTGAACGGTTGTGTTTTCCTTCTTCTTCATGTCATATATGATATACAACTGGATGAGGTTATGATTTCCTTTTTTGGTTTGTTGAAAAGCAAGAGACAAACTCATTCTTTTCATAAGTTCTCAATACGTTCAGATGTGTGTGTGTGTGACGGAAATGAAACTTCAAACTACAACTACATCTTTCTTTCTCTCTCTTTCTAACATCCGTCTCATTAACATTCTTATCATCGATTGGTTATGAAATCTTTTCCTGATTACTTTGTTTTACATCATTTTGACATTATTTCAGTTATTTTGTCTCTTCATCCATTTTTTTTTGTGATTGTACCGATCATGTTGTTGACGACAACGACAACGTCGTCATCAAACGTACATTTCGGATGACCTCGTCGCTGATGTCTTTTTTTTCTGTCTGCATGTGTCTCCTTTCCCCCACTTTCATAGCCTTATAAAGATGATGGTCACTTTGAACATTTCATTTAGGCTTTTTCTTTTTGTTTCACTTATTTCGCTTCTGTTTGAGACTTTTAGATGGCGGAGAGGAAGACAACCTCATCTGAATGTCATCTGATATATTCTTTATTCTATTAATAGATTATTTAAGTTCTTTCTCAATTCTTAAGCTTTTTCACTTGATCCTTTTGCATTCATCTTGTTTCTCATCTTTCCTCTCTATCCCTCTCTCACACTCTAACTCTTCTTTCATTCTATATCTTTCTCTTTTCACTCTCTCAACTTCATACCATTTATGGTATCTTCATTTCCGCAAAACTGCTTAATCACACTTCTTGTTACCCCTTGTCTCAGCTTTAGACTTTCATTCCCACAATTGGGTTCATTCGTGACAATCTGAACGTCTCAGGATCACCTTGGCTGCCTAAGGCGATGCTTTCATCTCTCCTTTCCTACTTCATTGGAACATTCCTTCTTCATCTTTGAGAGAGAGAGAGGGAGAGAGAGAGAGAGAAAGCGCATTCATGAATAGTGAGATATACTTGGAAATAACAGAATTAATTTGATTGTTCTATAAGGAAATAGGATTCTTCATTCATTTTTTGTACTTTTCCTTGCTGAATGCTCTCTCTCTTCCTCGCCTCCTGCATTCGAGAGAAGCAGAGAAATGTCCTTTCGTTTCGAAACTTCTTCCCCTCTCTCTCTCTCTTTCTCTTTCTACTTCTCTCTCTCTATATATCTCTCTCTTTTTCCATTTTTTGAATTTTGCCATATGTTCATAGGAGTTTTCATTTGCTTTTCCTGTTCGCCTTTTGTTTCTGCTTCAAATTCTCGTAATCGCCATAGTTTCCCTGATTAGCTGCTGGAGGTGTAGAGAGCTCCGTGTGTGCATGTGCATGTGTGGCGACGGCGGCGGTCGTAGTGGTGGTGTATCTACGACGTGTGGCTTATTTTCCCGAAAAAAAAAAGTTTGTCATTTCAAACAAAATTGAAGCTAAATTCATGAAAATTCATGTGTACTTAGATCTTTCAAGCTTACAAGTCATATGAATGTTGGAGACATTCGTAATTGACACTGACTTTTGGCTGTCGTTTAGCTTTTCCTTGGAATTTCTATTTTCTCTCCCTCATACACATATGTCTCTCTCTGTTTTGAATAGTCTTATTGAGCTTTTTCGATTATTAAGCTTTCAAAGGAAAAAAAAGTGGTTGTGAAAGAGGGGGATTTCGAAAGATTCACCTCAATGCTGCGACATTGGCAGCAAGCAATGGTGTGGAGTGAGAGAAGACGAAGAAGAAGAGAATGTCAATGAATCAGCTTTTCCCATCTTGTTCAATACTCAACTTGGTCGTTAAAAGTTTTCGTCTTTTCCAACTTTTCTGTTTCTTATCGCTTTTATTCTTTTTTTCCTTCTTTCTTCATCCCATCCACCAGCCCTGCCTCAGACCGCTACCCTCACTACGACCTCCCCCCCCCCTTCCCTCTCTCTCTCTCTTTCATTGTTATTCTCTCTATTACTCTGATTTCATTCCTCTCCATTTCAAATAATATTTTGATCTGATGTAATGCTTAATCAGAGTTTGCAAAAAAAAACTTTTTTTTTGCCCTCGTCGTCATCCTCTTCTTCTTGTGCTTGTTCGACTCCGAGTTGTTCCTTCTTCTACGTCTTCCAACAATTACTTTCATTATATTCGGACATCAATCTAGAAAGACAACATTCTGCAAAAGCCACGCATGAAAAAAAGTTTATTTTTCCGACCAAATCCTACAATCTCCCTCTCTTCCTCTATTTCTTCCCTCCTTCACCCTCTCTCTCACTCAACATCCCTTTCATATCTCTCTCTCTCTCTCTCTCTCTCTCTCTCTCTCTCTCTC